TAGTGAAATTACTGTGTTTTCTTCTTATCATGTCAATCTTGGCACCGATTTGAAAGCCAGTTCTAATATGAGCGGCAATCTGGAACGAACTACCCCCCGAGATCCGGACGATTCCGGATCTCCTATCTTTTCGCCGCGCCCTCAAGACATGGCTTTAAGTCGTTCGCCCAGACCGGATCCCTCTTAAAATTTATCCCTGTTAAAATTAATCTTAAAATTACCATTGTGTCGCCATTTATAAACAAAAATTAACCAAAAATAACCCCTATCACAAACAATCGTTTTAATATGCTGTAAGCCGCCCTGAGTCCTGTTGGGAGAAGGGCGGCATATAAGTTCAATAAAATAAATAAAAATAAATAAATAAATACACCTTTCTCCCGTTCAATATAAAAACATTATTTAAAAATAAAAATAGAGGCAACCTGACATTACAAGACATTCAGGCATAAATCTTCACCTCTGATCCCCTCATATTCCCTACTCCAAAGATTGAAAAAAAATTTCTCAGGAGTGGACACTCAGAATATTTCAATCAATCAAATCTTTATTACAATCTTTATTACAATTTTTATATGTAAGGGTGTAGGTCCATAGATACGTTGTATATAGTATGTTTTAAATATGGGTTAGTATATGTACACTTTGAGAGCGAGCAACAAAATTTCATTTTTAAGGTGTGCCGTTGTGCCCACAGGGGAAAAATGACAATAAAGGTTATCTAAACAATCATAGATCATTATAGATCAGAATTTTTAAATATTGAATGGGGGGTGTAATACTCCAAATGGCCATTAGGTGGCAAGGAGAGTTTAAAGATATTTTTTGGTATCTCTTTGTTGCCATCTAGTGGTCCTATTAATTCCTGCCGTCCTTGTTCAACCAGCTGACGAGAATGTCTTGGTTCCCTGTAACTAGCGTTGCAAGGTTAAAAAAGAAATAAAAAACTTTATTGCTATTGTTCCTTTGGCAAGCCACCTGCCAAGTCGCAAATTGCTTTTCTGAGTGTGACCCACCAGGTGGCCGAAAAAGATCAATGTACTGCTAATTAGTTTGAGGTTGTAGTAGCAATAAGGTTGTCCTCACTTGCATTGGCAAACAGTAAAGCTTAGGTTTATCTACCTCTAATTGGTAGAAAGTGAAAGTGATAAGAAACAAAACATTTCTCCTTAATGTTAATGGGGAGAAAAGCAAGGTTTTACACTTAGGCAGAATAAACCAAAGGTGCAAGTATAGGTTAGGTCGGTGGTGGCAAACCTATGGCAGGGGTGCCAGAGGCGGCACTCAGAGCCCTTCTGTGGGCACGCGCGCCGTCGCCCCAGTCCTAGGCCTTCAACTGGGTTTTATAAAACCTTTTCGCTTTAGGCCTTCGCCGCCATGTGCAAAAAAAAAAAAAAAAGTTCAATCAGTCAATTTCAACTTCTCGTGGGAAAAAAAAAAGATCTTGCAAAGTTGGAATTGATTGATTGAACTTTTTAGTCCCAGCCAGTCTGCCGTTACCACCACAGCCGTGCCCACCCAATGGGCCACACCCAGCCAATGGGCCACACCCACCCGGCACTCGACGATGCATAAGTGGATTTGGGGTTGCAATTTGGGCACTCAGTCTCTAAAAGGTTCGCCATCACTGGGTTAGGTGAAACCTGGCTCAAAAACAGTAACTGTGAGAGGAACCTTGGAGTCCTAGTGGATGATCACGTAAATGTGAGTCAGCGGCCCAAAAAGCGAATACAATCCTTGGTTGTATAAATAGAGGCACAGAATCAAAATCACGTGAAATGTTAGCACCCCTTTATAAAGCTTTAGTAAGGTCACACCTGGAACACTGCATCTAGTTTTGGTCACCACATTACAAAAAAAAGATGTTGAGACTTTGGGGGAAAAGTGCAAAGAAGAGCAACTCAAGTTGATAAAAGGCCTGGAGACTAAAACATATGAAGAACAGTTGCAGGAGTTGGGTTTGGCCAGTCTAGAGAAAAGAAGGACAAGGGGGGACATGATAGCAGTATTCTAATATTCGAGGGGCTGCCAGAAACAGGAGGGGGTCAAATTATTCTCCAAAGCACCAGAGGGCAGGACAAGAAGCAATGGATGGAAACTAATCAAGGAGAGAAGCAACCTAGAACTAAGGAGAAATTTCCTGACAGTCAGAACAATTAACCAGTGGAACGGCTTGCCTCCCAAAGTTGTAAGTACTTCATCACTGGAGGCTTTTAAAAGAGACTGGACAGCCATTTGTCTCCTGCTTGAGCAGGGGGTTGGACTAGAAGACCTCCAAGGTCCCTTCCAGCTCTCTTCTGATTGAAAACAAATTAGGGGCATTGGATGGAAACAATGAATTCGGTTTACTGTATGTGCATTTACACCTTAAAAATCATCATTTATTCATTTTTAATGATGCAAGCTTATGTCATGCCTCTTGCAAGTAATATTTGCAAACGAGATTTGAAGCACGGCAAATGAATGCTATTTGAAACTTCTGTACAGTCATTAACTATCGGTTTAATATAGGAAATTATATCAACGATTTGTTTGTATCTAGCTCGTAGATTACATCTCTCCTAGCGGCAGCTCCCGATGCTTTACATAGATTTTAAGCTGTCATTATTTTTTTATTAGCATATAGCCTTAAAAAAAAAATAATAGCGAGCCCATCACGGTCTCCTTAACGTAATCATAGCTAGATAGCTAGTGTATTTCTTCCCAAATCAAATTCATTATTCACGCTTAGTTTGAGTTCAGCTATGTTACTTATATTTTTTTAATGAACTTTATTTATATATGCTGTCCACAGGATTTGGGCAAAGTCCAAGTCCTGTGGCAGATTAAGGGATTTGAGCTGTGATCCACCTGTCCTAACCAAAACCCATCTGGCCTCAATTTGTCATTCTGGAAGGCAATCATGACACCCAAAAGCAGTCTGATTTTTTTTCAAGAAACTTGTGAGTCTCCTGTGTAAAATGAGCTGAGGAAGGGAGAAGGGGTAAAAGAGGGGTGTCATTGAATTGTATCCCCAATCCAGAGGGATCCTTACAATTAGAGCACCTTTCATTGCTCCAATTGTATGTTATATATAAATAAAAATGTAAATGTTCGTTTGTTCAAAATCTTAAATCTCCGAATGTTCTTCACCGATTGCTTTGAAATTTTGACACAACGCTGCATTCGAATACGCACATGTTTTTATATACTTACTATTATATAGATGTCACACCTGTGACAGGTAAAAGCATGCTTTTTTTGAAAAACAGCGCCATCTGTTGGACATAAAAGCAACACACGCTACATATTACAAACGTGCGCTTTCTCTTTTCTTTCTTTTCCATTTAACCAGACTGAGCCACAGCAACACGTGGCCGGGTACAGCTATTATATCATTAAGAAGAGGAAGGCATATTTACAATAATAAAAATGGGATATAAATAATTGTGGGGTCCCGATCCTCTCTGAGCTTGGTGGTTTCCTTGCAGACGTTTCATTACCCAGCTAGGGAACATCATCAGTGCTAGGAGGGAGACCCTACGGGCACTGATGTTGTTACCTAGTTGGGTAACGAAACCTCTGCAAGAAGAACACCAAGCTCAGAGAGCACCAAAGACCCTCAGTCCTCTTCTTCCTCTTCTTCCTCTCTCTCTCCCACTCTGCAAAACCCGCTCCCTTCTAGAACTGGTGATGTTACCCAGTTGGGTAATGAAACATCTGCAAGAAAACAGCCAGGTTTAGAGAGCACCAAGGACCCCATGGGTCCACCCTGAGCTGCAAATATTCTCTTCCATTGGAAATAAATAGATGATAGATAGATAGATGCTAGAAAGAAAAGAAAGAAAAGAAAGAAAGAAAGAAAGAAAGGAAGGAAGGAAGGAAGAGGAAGGAAGGAAGGAAGGAAGGAAGGAAGGAAGGAAGGAAGGAAGGAAGGAATGAATAAATAAATAAATAAATAAATAAATAAAGAAAGAAAGAAAGAAAGAAAGAAAGAAAGAAAGAAAGAAAGAAAGAAAGAAAGAAAGAAAGTTCATTACCCAACTAAAGAACATCTTCTTCATAGAACTGATGATGTTACCTTGTTGGGTAATGAAACGTCTGCAAGAAAACCACCAAGCTTAGAGAGCACCAAGGACCCCTCATGTCAACCCTGAACTACAAATATTCTCTTCCATTGGAAATAAATAGATGATAGATAGATGCTAGAAAGAAAAGAAAGAAAGAGAGAGAGAGAGAGAGAGAGAAAGGAAGGAAGGAAGGAAGGAAGAAAGAGAAAGAAAGAAAGAAAGAAAGAAAGAAAGAAAGAAAGAAAGAAAGAAAGAAAGAAAGAGAAAGAAAGAAAGAAAGTTCATTACCCAACTAAAGAACATCTTCTTCATAGAACTGATGATGTTACCTTGTTGGGTAATGAAACGTCTGCAAGAAAACCACCAAGCTTAGAGAGCACCAAGGACCCCTCATGTCAACCCTGAACTACAAATATTCTCCTTTATGGATAACAGAGTTTGTTTCCAAGTAAATATGTTGATTATGTCAATCAGTTTTCCAAGCTATGGTGTTTTGTTTTTTTTCTGTGTCGGAGTTTCAGAATTGTACTTTAAAGGGGTCCGTTCAATTGATTCTGAACGGGTGGATTTGCTGATTGCTAATCAATGCATTTGACATCCACCTGAACGGGAGATTTCCGTGCCTGCTTGTTGCCTAATTTTACAGCACTCAAACTATTCTTGCTGCACTTGTTAAATTGTTGTTGATACGTTCCCTTTCCCCTTAAACTACCGCACAGCAGATTTTGATAGCGGATGTTGAGAGGTTAATAATAACGGGTGAGACCAGGTAAGCCGAAATAAATTGCTGGTCGTGCATATTCATATGCCATTGAAAGGGAACCTTGGCTGAGAAATAAAAAAAAGTCGCACCGCATTGAAAAGTTCGGTGACACTTCCACTACTTCTTTGGGCTGTTAATATTTAAAGGTTCACCCTGCTTCTTTCTTTTTCCCCCTCTTTCTTCCGCAGACGAATGATATTGTCTACTACAATGCAAAAGAAGACCTGAATGATGTAAGTAACGTTTTGGAAAATAACTCTGAAAAAGCTCTAACTCCCTTAACACTGCCATTTTCATTGGGGTCCTTGGTGCTCTCTGAGCTTGGTGACTGTAAACATTTCATTACCAAACTAGGGAACAGCACCAGGGCAAACCCCACTCCTCTGCCAACACTGATGATGTTACCTGGACAGACTTGAACCCTGGGCGCTATCTAACAAAATGAAATTCAATGGTGAAAAAAGCAAGGTTCTACATTTAGGCAAGAAAAACCAAATGCACAGGTATAGTATAGGGGGTACCTTGCTCAATAGTAGTAACTGTGAGAGGGATCTTGGAGTCCTAGTGGACAATCATTTAAATATGAGCCAGCCGTGTGCTGCAGCTGCCAAAAAAGCCCACACAGTGCTGGGCTGCATTAACAGAGGGATAGAATCAAGATCACATGAAATGTTAATACCGCTTTACAAGCGGAACCATTCCGGTGTGAACCTTATGACGTAGGTCAAAACCAGTGGTGCTACATTTTTTCTACAACTCTGAGATCTTTCTCACGTCTCTTCTCGTTGTTTCTACTAATCCCCTGACCTCCGGTTTCGTATATTCCTTGCCAACAACATTAACCCATACAGATCAAATTGCTTCTCTTCCTGCTCCCCCCTGTACTATCCAGCGTTCCAATATCTCAGGGGCTGCCCCAAAGTAGAGGGAGTCAAGCTATTCTCCAAGGTGCCTGAAGGCAGGACAAGAAGCAACGGGTGGAAACTAATCAAGGAGAGAAGCAACCTAGAACTAAGGAGAAACTTCCTGACAGTTAGAACAATTAACCAGTGGAACAACCTGCCTCCAGAAGCGGTGAATGCTCCAACACTGGAAGTTTTTAAGAAGAGACTGGGCAGCCATTTGTCCGAAATGGTATAGGGTTTCCTGCCTGAGCAGGGGGTTGGACTAGATGACCTCCAAGCTCCCTTCCAACTTTACTATTATTATTATTATTATTATTATTATTATTATTATTATTATTGTTATTGTTATTGTTATTGTTATTATTATTGTTGTTGTTGTTGTTGTTGTTGTTGTTGTTATTATTATTATTATTATTATTATTATTATTATTATTATTATTACCTAGTTGGGCAATGAAACGTTTGCAAGAAAACCACTAAGCTCAGAAAGCACCAAGGACCCCACAGTTCAACTCTGAGATACAAATATTCTCTTATATTAGTACTACCAGTTTCATTTTGCTTCCTTTGGAGAGACCCCCCCCCCCAAAAAGGCTCAACAAAATCCTATTAAAATGCTCTGTGAAAACAGAAGATTTAAAGTTATGTTGCAGGAGACACAGGAGAGGAGCACAGTCACATGCGTGGGTGGGATGCTGGGCAGGAGGTTAGCAAGCCCGCGTTTGAGACCCGAATCCTGCTGTGGGCTGGGTGAGCTCGCGTGCTTCGCTCCAGCTCCTGCTGGGGACATGATAGGAGCCTCCAACTGGTTGTGCCCCAGGTAACGGTGATGTCACCAGCTGACCCTTTCAACCCGGAAGCGCCTCGGTGCTTCTGACAGGGTCTATGACAGGGGTAGGCAACCTTGGCTCTTTTATGACTCGTGGACTTCAACTCCCAGAATTCCTGAGCCAGCCACGCTGAGGAGAAAGGGAGAGGTTTCCAAGGTGAGGCATGCTGGCTCAGGAATTCTGGGAGTTGAAGTCCACGAGTCATAAAAGAGCCAAGGTTGCCTACCCCTGCCCCAGACCCATGTTTTGACTTCTTTTTGGAAAGCCAAGAGAATGGGGGTCTCCCTCACTTCTGAGGGGAGAATATTCCACAGCGTGTTCCACCCCCCACACACACACATACCATGGTTGTATGAATGATGGTGGAAGGAAGGACTTGTTAGGCGGTTTCCTAGCCTAACGCCTTGAAAACTTTGCAATGTGTGGTCTATAGCTTTTAGGAGAACCAAACTAGGAACTTCAGAGGGTGGTTGAGAAATAAATAAATATTATAAAGCAGCCTATAAATCTGAAAAATAAATACATTTCAGAAAATAAGAAGCCTTGTGTTTGGGGTGGTTTCACAAGAAGCCTTGTGTTTGGGGTGGTTTCTCTCTTATTCTATTTGGAACGAGCTGTTTGCTGCTAAACTGCTCCACTGGGAGTGGTAATTTTAATATTGAATAGTAGGTTATTTTTTTTAATTATACACATAAATAGGTTCCAGTGTGAACTAGACTTCCTGCAAGTGCATTGTCTCATCGTTTGGTTGACCCATAAGGGGAAAGTTTTGCAAAACCAAACCAAAAGGAACAGAACAGAATTTCCCAGAGTATTAATCCTAATCCAGATGTAATTAGGTAGTACGTAAAATGTCTTGTTCGAGAACATTCTGACCTGAACATTCATGTGAGGCTGATTACCAAGTTAGAACATGCTATCGTGGGTATGTTTGCACAACTGTAGAAGAAAGTCAACCCAACTGGTAGTTGGGTAGATTTATAGTCTTTAAAATAATAATTAAAAAAACACCCCAAGCCAGAGGCTTTGTTTCATATATTTTGCATGCAGTCCTCCAAGCTTAAAACCAATTCTGCATTTTCTTTCCTGCAGGGAGGAAAGAAAAAAATTGTTCTTTCAATCAGATCAGTCTGTTGGAGTGGTCCATGGAGCCATCACACCCACCTCTTAATGCAGGGGTCTTCAAATGTGGCCCTTTTATGACTTGTGGACTTCAACTCCCAGAATTCCTCAGCCAGGCACGCTGGCTGAGGAATTCTGGGAGTTGAAGTCCACAAGTCATAAAAGGGCCAAGTTTGAAGACACCTGTCTTAATGTAACCCTTCTCCTTCTCTTTCTCTTTCTCCTTCACTCCTTCTCCTTCTCTCTCTCAACTTATGGAGATTGTCTATTTTCTGAGACTCTCTATCCTCTCTTTTATAAATTCTTTCCTGATGTGGGAAAGAAAATCATATTTCCCTTACGTTACATCTAACCAAAGGTCCTTGTAGGACAGCGATCGTGAACCTTTTAGAGACTGAGTGCCCAAACTGCAACCCAAAACCCAGTTATGCATCGTCGAGTGCTGGGTGGGTGTGGCCCACTGGGTGGGTGTGGCCCATTGGGTAGGTGTGGCCCATTGGGTGGGTGTGGCCCATTGGGTAGGTGTGGCCCATTGGGTGGGCGTGGCTGCGGTGGTAATGGCAGACTGGGTGGGACTAAAAAGTTCAATCAATCAATTCCAACTTTGCAAGAACTTTTGTTTTCCCGCAAGAAGTTGAAATTGACTGATTGAACCTTTTTTTTTTTTTGCACATGGTGGTGGAGGCCTAAAGTGAAAAAGTTTTATAAAACCCAGCTGAAGGCCTAGGACTGGGGTGACGGCACGCGTGCCCACAGAGAGGGCTCTGAGTGCCGTTTCTGGCACCCGTGCCATAGGTTCGCCACCACTGTTGTAGGACCTTGATGTCAGAAGACAAAAGGATTGGATTTAAATATTACTGTTGGAGGTTGTGATGCAAATAATAGGTAATATCCTTACCTGATGACCTCATGGCAGACCTCATTTTGACATCACAGTTTGTTATGACAGCTGCCACGTCTACATTCTGCAAGAGTACCTCCCAAGGATATAGGGGACTGCAACTCCAATTATTTAGAGTTTGACAGTTTTTGTTTTAAAGTTGGAAATTATTTTCTCCTCCCGACAACGCAGCCTGCTATTTTAAAATACGGCGTGGGCGGATAAACTAATAGCAAAGTTTCTTTAAAAAAACTTTAGTCAGATCACCACGCTTCATTTGCACCTAGCTGTAAAATGGGATTTCAGATTGATCGTATCTCTGTGGCATGTGATGCCGATGCCAGATAATTAAAGAAGTAGCGAGCAAGAAAGCAAGATAATTATAGAAATATGAATTGCAGAGTGGACATGGAAAATTAGATGCGATGTAGATGCAGGGAACTTTTTTTTAAAGAGCTGTCCAAAGTTGTCTTTTTAATTAATTAAAGAGCTCAGTTTTGCTTCCTTTTTCGAGAAAAATAGTGAAGCTTTATGGAAATAAGATATTCACACGAATGTCTTCAAAAAGATCGTGTGATTTAAAGGACTTTCTGATGTATACTGTAACAGAATAACAGAGTTGGAAGGGACCTTAGAGGTCTTCTAGTCCAACTCCCTGCTCAAACAGGAGACCCTATACCATTTCAGACAAGTCCAGTCTCTTCTTAAAAGCCTCCAGTGATGGACCACTCACAACCTCTGAACACCGTGTGTTCTCGCTGTCAGAAAAAAATCTCCTTATTTTAGGTTGTTTCTCTCCTTGATTAGTGTCCTTCCATCCATTGCTCAAATTGGGTCATCAGTCTGGAGTCCCTTCATGCCCACGAGTGATCTAAGTCCAGTCCACCTAAGTCCAGTCCAACTCTTATCTACCGCCAATTTGCTTTGACCGTTAGTAGTTCAGATTCTTGTAGCAAGCTGAAGCTTGCAATAAACCTTTATAATAATAATAATAATAATAATAATAATAATAATGATGATGATGATGATGATGATGATGATGATGATGATGATGATAATAATAATAATAATAATAATAATAATAATAATAATAATAATAATAATAATAATAATAGTAATAATAAAGTTGGAAGGGACCTTGGAGGTCATCTGGTCCAACCCCCTGCTCAGGCAGGAAACGCTATACCATTTCGGACAAATGGCTGTCCAGTCTCTTCTTAAAAACTTCCAGTGTTGGAGCATTCACCACTTCTGGAGGCAGGTTGTTCCATTGGTTAATTGTTCTAACTGTCAGGAAGTTTCTTCTTAGTTCTAGGTTGCTTTTCTCTTTGGTTAGCTTCCACCCATTGCTCCTTGTCCTGCCTTCAGGTGCTTTGGAGAATAGCTTGACTCCCTGTTCTTTGTGGCAGCCCCTGAGATATTGGAACACTGCTATCATGTCCCCTCTCGTCCTTCTCTTCGTTAAACTAGACATACCCAATTCCAGCAACTGTTCC